GAGTACATGCTTATTTTCCTAGGAGGAGCTCTTACCTTGTTAAATGCTCCCTTGGAATATTTAACATTGTACTTTGACATGCCTTTTATGCTCCTTCTGGGTGATATCAAACAAGGAATTTTCTATGCTGCCCTGTTATCATTTTGGCTTGTGTTTGCTGGAGAGCATATGATGGTGCAAGAAGATAATCGCCACAACCATTTAAGAGTCTACTGGAAACATCTAAGTGCTGTTGGTGTTGGCGAGCCCGAGACTCAGCTTCTGTATACAGGAAGTGGAAAGGAAAAGGAGCGGGATAAAAGGGCGCCGCGGGTTAAAATGCAACATGTTAAAGCAACATAGTTTCTAAACTGCCCAGTGGCGAGCAAGAAGAAAGCACTAGTAAGCCAAATTTGATTCAATAATAGTGTATTTCTTAAAAATGAAGATTTTTGAAAGTTGACTGAAGGGATTGTCAAAATACATCCACCATGGCTTTGTGTTGCAGTGCTTTCCATAGAAAATAAAAATTCTAGAGAATGTAGTAAATTAAAATGTAGTTCGTTAAGATTCTTTGAAGGAGCCTATTGAGTTCAATTAAAATGAAAGATAGTGTGACTAATAAAGTGGCTTATTTACCTGTGCTGTACCTTCTCTGCGGATTGTTTCATACAAACTGAAAAGTTTTGCAGTAAAGGGATCAACTTCTAAAGTACTGCAAAAAGAAAATGACAATGCTTAATTTCTGACAAGATAAAACAAATTTCATACATACTTAATACAAACCTCTTCAAGCTTTCAACGAGAAATTCATGATTGTGCGCAACCTTGTGAAATAGTTCATTTATGACTATTTGAAGTTGTACAGCACGGTCAAATTCTGATTTTGGAAATGTGGATGGCAATAATACAAACGGAGCAAATCGCATTCCATCTGGATCGTATGCATCCATAGGTCGCATTCCAGCACCTGTCATAAAAGATTCAAGAGTGCTTATTGTGACGAATGAAAAATACTTTACTTAAAATGTAAATCGAAACTCACCATGCATTAATGCCCAGTCTTTTGCTTTGCTAACAAGTGTTTCAAGTTCTTCCTGTTCAATTGGTAGAGGAATACAAGTGTCTAACCGAGGAGTTCCCATTTTGCTCAACATTATATAGTTATTTAAAACAGGGATCAAACTACAAATCAAGCATAAATTTAGACAATTAAAAAAAAAAAATGACCGTTTTCTCTGAGAAATCAACAGAAAACTTGAAGGCAGCGAGCTGGTCGCGCTTGTGCAACAATTTGTGGGGAGGTAATCACTCACTACAGGATTGCACCACGTTCAACATTCGTGACTCCGTAAGCTTTTAGCTGGTCACAATACAAACACTCAGCTTCAGCTTAGAACTCGGAAAGAACCCTCACAAAAACGTCCTAGCTTTCTGCTAGATTAAGGTTACACCACAGTCCCTTGGATTCCACCTGGTCACGTGCAATTTCCCACCATATATTCTGACCTGTTTGTTTTTCATCATTCTCGTTACAGAGGTACACATAGAATTTTTTTCAACGCTGTTGGTTCTCGGTGCAGGTTGCAAGCAGGTGTGTTGTGTGTTGATGTTGGATATGTCGGCTTCCTATTTCTAGTTCGTAGAGTTGACTACTTTCTTCTGTAAGTTGGTATTTCTTTTATTATTTTGTCAAACTATTTTGTGTTTTACAGAGATGGGAAAAGGCATTGATTCACGGAAATCAGTACCAAAAGCATAGACTGCCCGACCCCGACGACGCCAAGAAAACATCTCCGGCGAGCCTGTGTTTACGACCGCGTTGTATGTTTTCTCCTGGACCTGTGTAGTCGGTTCAAGTAACCAAGATGCAGGGCACAATTGTTGAGAATTTAAGTGGTAGGAAGCTATCGGTACTTGTAGCTCTGCTACTGATTGCTCAAGTTGTTTGCTTCCTTATTGGTGGACTGATAGCCCCTACACCTTCAAGTGCCTACAACGTCTTGGGCAGTAACTGTGTGGACCCAGGGAACAACACGCAGAAGTGGTTTTACACTCGAGGCGAAGGATCATGCAAGAACAGAGAACTCACCAACTACAGGGATGCTGAGTCAATGCTTGAGATGGCAAACCGTGTTGTGTTTGTTTTTCAAATTCCCATACCAAGGGAAAATGTAATCTTGGATTACTCACGCTGGCAGCAAAATCTGATTGGAGTTTTGCAGTTTGATATCGCGTACCATTCTGAAAATGAAATGAAACCTCGCACTACCATTACAATTGATGCTAAGTTGGGTTACCGTAATAAGGGTGATCCTGATGATGCTTGGAAGCCATATGCCAGTTCTGTCGAGGAACGGTCTCTTGACTGTGTTATTGACAGTAAAAAGTCAGACTACTTCTACAATTGTTCCATTGTTCCTCTTTTTGAATTAGGATCTTTGCATCATGATTATTATCTGTTAAACATTCGTCTTCCTGTTGACCATTTCAAGCATATGAATGAGGGACTCGGACAACTAGAAAGTATCTATCTGATCACGATTAATCAAAATGGAGGTTTTACTAAAGTGTGGGTCTCACTAAAGACTGTATTCTTCCCATTTATCATTGGAATTATGATCTGGTTCTGGAAGAGAGTTCATCAGCTTGCAAGACCTCCTGCCCTGTTGGAGTACATGCTTATTTTCCTAGGAGGAGCTCTTACCTTGTTAAATGCTCCCTTGGAATATTTAACATTGTACTTTGACATGCCTTTTATGCTCCTCCTGGGTGATATCAAACAAGGAATTTTCTATGCTGCCCTGTTATCATTTTGGCTTGTGTTTGCTGGAGAGCACATGATGGTGCAAGAAGATAATCGCCACAACCATTTAAGAGTCTACTGGAAACATCTAAGTGCTGTTGGTGTTGGCTGCCTGTCTCTGTTTATATTTGACATGTGTGAACGAGGGATTCAATTGAGAAATCCCTTTTATTCCATATGGGTTACTGACATTGGAACAAACCTGGCACTGACATTTATCATTCTTGCTGGGATATCAGCTGGTGTATACTTCCTATTTTTGTCCTACATGATATGGAAGGTTTGTACAGTTTTTCTCACGTTTTAATTGATTTTTTTTTTTTTTGTCAAAAATGTATTTGGCTAATAATTATTTTGTTTTTGTTTTCTAGGTTTTCCAAAATATCAGTGCCAAACGTTCTGTGTTGCCTGGGATGTCTGCAGTGCGGCGCCTTCATTATGAAGGTGTTATTTACCGGTTCAAATTTTTGATGCTTGCAACCCTTCTTTGCGCTGCCATGACAGTTGTTGGATTTATCCTGGGTCAAGTGGCTGAGGGACGCTGGAAATGGGATGAGTCTCTTGAAATTGAATACACATCTGCCTTTTTCACTGGAGTATATGGCATGTGGAATATTTACATATTTGCTCTTCTGTGCCTTTATGCACCCTCTCACAAAAAGTGGCCTGTTGAATCAGAATCTCATAGCAACAGTGTTAGTGAAGAGATTGAATTCAGTCGCTTGCCTACAGAGCCATCTGAAATTTCATCTCTTGCATCATTTGCTCGCAAAGCAGCTCTTGATTAAAGTAATCACCTTTTTTGTTTAATTTATTTTGTAGACTTCAGGTATTTTACAATATTTGTGATTTTAAGTCTGACATCTTTTATAAACTATTTATTCCTATTGGATGTTACCAATCACTATATTATTAAACTTCCAGTGTTTTATTTGATTCCACTACAGGATTTTTAAAATTAATTCACACTAATTAACTATTGCAATTTTATTCTGATCTCTAGCGTACTTAATCATTTTTAATCAATTAAATTGCATAAGTAACTGTCAAGACATTAATGTATTTGAAATGATCTTTGCTGTATTCTATCCTAGTGTAGCTTTACCTTTCAATTAGTATTTAACAAATATTGTAACCTTAGTTCTCAAGAACTACTTTTTATATGAATATGATAAACCTACTCTCTTTTACCTAAGGTGAAAATGTCAGTGAGAAATAACCCCTAAATCCATTACACTTTGTATTGTGTCAATTTGTTTGTCTTAACCTATATCTAGCTCTTAACATTTGTTCTAATGGCTTATATCTCACTTACTCTCTTAAGTAGATGTTTTTACCCGAGTAATTTGTATTTAGAAATGGTATTGTACCCCATCTGTACCTGATGTGCTGATTTTGTAATGTATTTTATGTATCTTTGTATAACTTTCTTTGGGCATGCACTATGGTTATACTGTTGTCTCATTTTCTTTTATCCGAACTGCTGGAATTGCCAGAGAGAGATTGATTCTACAACTTGTCTGTGTTTTGAACTTTTAAAACACACACACATGTTTCCTATAGTCTTTCATTCTCAACTTTGAATTTAATGTACTAATTTTAAGTTGTTTAATGTTTGAGTATTCTTTAATATTATGTGTATGTCTTTTTAGTGGCGATGAATTTTACAAGTATTATACATGGACTATAGTCCATTCATTATGTGACATTATTACCCAGATATATTAGCCATTATTATGTGTACTGTATTTGTACTCTTTCTAATTTTTGATCCAGTATTGTAGAGTTTGCATTTATAATAGACTTAGTTCTCTTTTATTAACTTATTGATTTAGCTCGAGTAGTTGGACTTACCTTCTTTCTGAGTGTGCAGTGGTTACGAATGTGCAGCTGATGGGCTGCTAACTAGTTTGGATTTGTGTCAACATTGTCAACATTACCAGTATTGTTTGGTGACTTTCTTCCTTGCCATAATAAAGCTAGAATGTAGTTGAGTACTTTGGCATTCACTTGGTCTCATCCACCCTCTCCACAAAAGAATTTACCCCGTCCCTGTATTCAGCAACACAACTGTAGCTCCAAGCTGCGAGGTCCACACAGTGGACCCGGCCTGAAATGTGTTGCAGTGTACATCGTGAGTTCGGCCAAAAGACCAGGGCTGGTACTACCCGTGTGGTTTCGCGGACCCCTCGCACAGAACGTGTTAAGGGGAGCGATTGGTTGCCTATCCCCCGGGCGGACCAGGCCTTGAAAACACATGGTAATTTTGCCTAAAACTGAAGATTAAAAAGAAAGATGGAAATGGTTAATATTGGTCTGCTAGATTCACCTTCTTTATCTAACTCTCGTGCCACTGAGCGAGTACAGGTGGGTAAGCTTTGCTTCTTTTTCTTCGACTGATCCATTTGAGTGGCAGGAAACCCAACGCTCACCAAGTTCTGACTAAAGTTCCAATATGATGTAACTACATATGAACTACCAAAATAAACAATAAACTGTAAGTTGATGCTGGAAAATTGTGTTTATTTTTCAAACAAATGACTAGTCCCTTTCAGTCAGTAAATATCACAGGAAAAAAAATGAGCTGACACTATTTTCCAATTAACTTACTTGATACAGAACTGAATACATATATGGAATGATGAAGAACAGTGATGATACATAAGCTGTGAAAAATACTAAGCTTTAAGAGTTAGATACCTAGTATAAAATGTCATGAGCTTCTCTCATATATTTTTTTGATCAGTTTGACAGCTGGTAGACTTTGTTTGATTCAAGTACAACCTCAACATTTTTCCCATGACCATAGAAAAGAGCTAAGGAAATTTAAAAAATAAGATATCAAAGCCTTTGTTTTGTAAGAATCATAAAGCTTAAAATTCAGTCTGGATTTCATCATCACGCTGTTTGATGGGATTATCCTTTAAAAGTGCAATAATCATACTGTAAAAAAAAAATTACTATCAACATCTTCATAAAATAAATGATTTATCACTCTACACAATAAGGAACTTCTGACCAGAGCAGAGTTCAGTACCCCATATAAGGACAGTTATAGATGAAATGAACTTACCAATAAAGGTACATGAAGAAGGCCAGCAAATTGTATCCTAGATGAATAAGTGAATCACGCATGTGTCTTTTTAATTGGCCTCGATTATGAATTTCTGTAGGATCAAAAACACCCGGGTTTCCTGCTGGCACTTTGATATACCTGAAACGTAAATATAATTTGACATGAATGATTCTAATAATTCAATAAAAGGAGATAAAAAAGATTACCGGTAGTTCAAATAACATACTCATATACAATCCAAACCGCTATAGGCAAGGCAGTAAGGAATAGTACCCAATGCCAGTGTAATATAAGCATCACCGTCATAAGTAAGTGAGCGACCATTTTCGGTATAACATACTGAAAATAATGAAAGAGGAAATTATTTCGGGAATACAATGTGTGATTTAGTATTGCAAGGTGAGCTGTCTCACCTCAGGTGAGGCAACTCGCCTTACAATGTTTGAGGACTGTGATTGTCTAGCCAATTAGTGGATCGAATGAGCCAAGTCAAGTGAGCCTCATGAGACTAAATCCACCATGAATGTATACACAACCAAAGAAAATGCTTTGATAAATAATTGACCAATTACCATATTCAGAGTAGAACAGCATTGCTGAGCATTTAGATAATCACATTCTAAGTCTGAAAGTGTAATAATCTAGAAGCTGTTAAGGATAATTAAAGCAAAATATGTGAACAAACACAGTAAAATTGCAACACAAACGACCAGCCCTAACACCAATAGACATTTTCCTTTGCCAAAATTATCGAGGCACGTGGTATTTAAAGGTCAGTGTAATCATCATTTTCGTAAAATACAGCGAAAATGGATAATTGAGACGTACTGAAGACAAGAGGGAATGTTTTCCAAAAAAAGGATACAAAGTAAACAAGTAGAAAAAGAGCCGCTCCTGTCTCCACCATACACAATGCAAATAAAAGTGGATCTGAAAAAAGCATATCTAAGCAATTATTCTATGGCAACTGTTGATTTCGAGAAATTGAAGCAGATTAAATTTCAACACGATTGGCGAATGTAAACACAGCCACTGACACAGCTACTAAATAAAATCTCAAACACAAATAAATTTCGATGGAAGACCGACAAGCGAGATATCGCGAAATCGGTACTGACAACTGTGCAACGCTCCGATGTTTAGATGGTACTGGTTTAAATGTTCCTCATATCAAAATCAGAAGACCCTTGTAAAATATTGAAACTTTTTATGGATAAAGAACGTCTCTATTCTTCTGATAAAAAAAAGATATGTACTTCTTGATTACTTTTCAGTGTTGTGAGGTTTACGCTCTGTTCGCTTCTGCTGTGGCCTCACCAGCTGAGATCGACGATAACATAGGTTAGGGCCACAACTAGCATCTGACAAATTAAGTGTTTCTCATCAGTATACTGCGAAAATGGTTATAACCAGCCAATTTAAACTCCCTACTGAGGAGGAGCTTGCTGTTCCCGAGCTCAATGTTTCTGCCGCTGCGTTTGCCACCGGCGCATTTCATCTGGGAAAGTATTGCGAAGAGCCTTGCAAAGTGAGTCTTCTGACTTAAGTATTTTGTTACGATCTGTTACGGCTAGGTGCAAACTTTATACGAGATGGTTTGTGTCTGTTCCGCACCATAGTTATTCTTGGTAGGTTTAAAGCAAATCGAAATCAGCGTACTTTGGAGTTTTCTGTCTCTTTATTAAGGTTAGGTTGTGTAGGTCACCGTCAGGGCACTCGCCACGGCTGTATTATTGCAATATTATGGCAACTATAATGAGTGTTGCAGTTTGACAGTTACAGTTACTGAAGTAGCGCCTTGAATGCTCTTATTTGTTCTGTGCTTTTATTTAAAATAGTCATCAGGTGACTTATGCAACTGATACAAACATTTAAAAAAAATAAAAATTGTCCGATCAATAGCTTAAAATTAAGTTCTCCTGTCTTAGTGTTATTGGAGTAATTTTTTTAAACCTTTCTTCTTTTTTCAGGAATTTATGTTGTGTCGGGACGAGCTCGGTGACCCAAGGAAGTGTCTCTCTGAGGGAAAACAAGTTACTGCTTGTGGCCTCGAATTTTTTAAGAAAGTAAAGAAGTCTTGCTTAGCTGAATTTATCCAATACGAAAAGTGCCTTGTATCAAGCAGCTCCAACTACGAATATGCTCGGTATGTATTATCAGTTTCTTTTTTATTTAATATAGTGTGGGTAACTCATGACTTGTTTTATATGGAAACCATTTCATGTTTGGCAGTTGCCGTAAGACCCAGAATGTTTTTGATGAGTGTGTGAAGACTCACATTGGGGTGGAGAGACCCCGTCCATTCTATTTTTGTGAGCCAAAGATTCATGATTCTAAGAGACCCAAACCGCCTACAGCCGAATACCCCGTCTATGGCGACGCTACTCCTAAGCTTCCTGAAGAGAAACTGAAGGAAGCCAAGACAACATTTGAGAGGCAGGGTATCTTTGATGCTGGAAGGCCACTTTAAAATGTATAGTGTTTTTATCAGTACACACCAGTCTTCACTTAGAAAAGTTGTACATTGTTGCTGGAAATATTTGTAATATATATGGTTGCTTTGGATGTTTTGTTGTTTCTTGTGAAATTAAATCTTAACTGAGGATTCCCTTGATTATTGGTAAACAATTTTTTCTTTTTCAAGATTGAGGTAACAGTTGAGTTCATTATTACGTAAAGTCAAAAGAGGAGAACTTTTCAAATTTTGAAATTGTATGGTTTTAATGTAATTTATAATAAATTTTTTTCACATATAATGACACTATACTCAAATATTTTGGGAATTATTTTTGGGTATAATACGGAAATGAATTATGCATAAAACGTTTCTCTTACTTCAGTAGGGACCATTTCAGTTGTTCCTTGGCAGACTGTAATACCTGAATGGAAGGAAAACAGTGTTAAACAGACTGTAGAATAAATTATATATTACCGTTGTGTTAATAGAACAACCCTGAAAAAACAGCAAATGTGATGAAAGTAGACATGTACCTGAGCAACAGTTTGTTCTCCTAGGGGAATGTCATCCGTTCTTAATGCTACTCTTTGTACAACTGCATTAAAGTCTGCCTCCATGATGATTCTGGACAGAAATGTGTTATTTAGTAACTAATTTTAAACTACGTCTTACAATTGAACAACAATGAAGAACAATACTGTAGATTTTATAAATTTAATACTTACCCTCCATCACAAATTTCATCCATGGCAAGCATTACTATGTCAAGGTTTTCAAATAGAGCTCTCTTTTCCACATTCTTCCGTAAGATGGCACTTACTGAATCAAAGAGGCAGTTGAGTGCAGTCATAAGGATCAACTGTAGAAAAAAAACGCTGGTAAAAGGGGAATATGCCTTTTAAGTGTCTCAACTGTAATGAACCATACAAGTCATACCTCATTTTCATGTGAACTACCCATAACATAAAAGAACAGATCAACATTGCTGCGATACACGCATGTCAGACCATCAAGCATAATAATTTCTGCACTGGCTCGGTGAGTTTTGTTAAACAGATTCTTTTCAAATGCTTTCTGTTCTTTGGCAGTTGGGAATATATTTTTGTCATAGTATTTTGCTAGGACTCTATGACCATCATTATCCAATATTGCCATACCTTTGACAACATACAATGTTGGTTCCTAGAATCAATCATAAAAGAAATGTCCATAAAAAATGACCTAATGTAAGGCAAGCTCACATTTTAAAAATTTGTTGAAAAACTAATCATAAATAGCTGAACGATAAAAAAAAAATGTTTACAATAAAAGGGAGATCTTAAAATGCAATGTCCTAACCTAATTGCTACTGTCATTGTAACATGACAATTGAATCAATAGCAAAGTAATGGCACAATTTACAAAATTTGTCAAGGATTTTAAGCATACCAAAAGAGATCCTTCCATTTTGAAGCTTAATGTGTTGTGCACTTGAATTAAACTTTCTTCAATGTAAAATGCCTACTGCTATACCGACACATCAACAACCTCAACAACCGGATCGGATGGTAGAGATAGAGAAGGCAGTGAACAGAGGGAAGCGGTTTTACAGGCCTGCAAACCCTTGCAATTAACAAGTACGGTATAATTCCAAAATCGTACAACGTGAAAAAAACTATCACGATGTTACAGTAGACTAGAGATATGTCCTTCGTAGGTAATTCTGGTGTAAATTCAGTCCTGCTCCAGAGGGGTATTTCGGCGCGGTTTCGACGCGGTTCCTCCGTCCGAAGCGGTAAATTTTGAAAAGCGGCAGCACAGAAGGATTAGTTTGCCCGAATTTACACCAGAATAATGTAAGAAGGACATATCTTTAGGAGTAAACTCAGTTCTGTTCTGAAAACTCGCTCCATTCGCAAAGGCACCATGGCGCCAAAGGTGGGCAAGTCCGCAAAACTGTTGTATAGTAGCCCGAAACAAACGGTATAACTGTGCTAGGGGGTAGTTTCCATAACTACGTGAATTTTAAGGGTGAATACGACAAATTTCATGGGGTCCTAAAAGCATCAGGCAGGGCCATCATTGAAGTCCATCGTAAATTGTTGCAAGATGACAGTTTGAGCCGGTTTGAGCACGGCTCGCGTATGATGTCCAAATGTCCAGATTTAAAACGCGGCTTGTTTGAATGATTATTTTGCCACCTAACCGTTCGGTCCAAATCGGTGCGCTAGGGATCATCCAGAAAGCACGTCCGCCTTTTGCCTCTTGGTGCCTGATAGGTAGGCAACATCTTGCCAGCAGTGCACGCCGACCTGCGGTTGCCTACCCCGATTTTTGCAGGCGCCGAGCTCCAGTATAATTTGAACGAATCTGAGGGTAGCGGTCTTGTGTTATGGACGATTCCCCACACTGAAAACTCAACAGTGTACATTGTATGCTGAAAAATCAGCAATCATTGATGATTGCTGATATCAACAGCAATCATCAATGATCACGTCGAGGGGGCAATAACTTCGGGAATCATGTGTACACCTGCCTGGGAATCACAGGATAAAAATCAATCGAAATCAACAGAAATCGCTTAAAATAAGCGAGAAACTAGTGGAATTCGTACAAATTAGTCGAAACAACGTTCAAATTAGTCGAAATAAGCGTTTTCTACCACTAGAAAACCCAAGGAATGAACATAGGATGACGGGAATCACTAGGAACCATGGATTTCGGGAATCATGTGTACACATTTAAAGGGAGTTATTGCCCCCTCGGATCACGTTTAGGTTTTTGGCTAATGTTTCCTTTCAGACGGATATCATCGG